CGCCTGCCTCAGCCTCCCAGAGTGCCAGGATTACAGGCGTGAGCCCCTGTGCCTGGCCTCTGCATTAGGTTTTAACTGATCTCCTCACATCCACTCAAATTCCCACTCTAAAACTTGAATTTCAAAACCCTAACGAAGGTATCTTAACTTTTTAAAAATGCTCATTACCTTTCTTATATTTACCTGGAAACAGAAAAATAGAGGAAGAGGGAAACAAGAGACCAAACCTGGCCGGGCGCCGTGGCTCACACCTGTAATCCTAGCACTCTGGGAGGCTGAGGCAGGAGGATCGCTTGAGGTCAGGAGTTCAAGGCCAGCCTGAGCAAGCGTGAGATCCTTCTCTATCAAAAATAGAAAAATTAGCCTCTACCAAAAATAGAAGAAATTAGCCGTGCATGGTGGCGCATGCCCATAGTCCCGCTACTGGAGAGGCTAAGGCAGGAGGATCCCTTGAGCCCAGGAGTTTGAGGTTCAGTGAGCTATGATGACACCAGTGCACTCTAGCCCTTGTGACAGAGTGAGACCCTGTCTCAAAAAATGAAAAAAAGAGCCAAAATCTTTCAGCCAGCTCTTGGCTCAGTATGAGTTGGCAGGCAGCCTCTGGGCCTTTCAGCAGATGAACAGACCTGCTGGGTGGTTCCTCACAGAAGGGCTCTTCTTGGGGGAGATTGCTCAAAGTTTCTATCCACTCAATTGGCTGTCATCATGACACAGAAAATGATGCTGGAATACTAGAGCTTTTATTCCAGCTGCCAGGCCTTTGCCCAGGTGGGGAGTCTCTCTTCCCTGTGGCTCCTCACCGCTGGGGACTCTGTCTGCTGTGAGACCCCCAGATACGCACTCTGGGACCTAGACATGTTCTTACTTAGATGATAATTTTCCTCTACACACTATTCGCTATACTTAGAAATTTATGCTAAACGTTTTAATCTTACATCATTTTCAGCAAGCATCTTAGATGGTTTAAAGACAGGAATTTATGAGAGTAATCTATTATATGTGGTTCTAAGGAATACAGATAACATCTAACTTTAAGATGTTTCCATATGACAAAATACACCTATACAGGAAATTTCTCCAGCACTCCTGAACCAGTGTGTGGAAGTCATTGGAGGCCACCCCCCAACTCTATCTGCCGCTTCTAATTAATCCACTCTCCACTCTGTAGTTATAGTGATCTTTCAACCAAGCAAATCACGTCACTCAGCTACTCTGAATCCTTCAGTGACTTCCACTGTTCTTGGGTTAAAGACCGAAACCCCAACACGGCATAGAAGACACTGCCTGCCTTGCTTCCGCCGTGCTCTCCATCTGCTCATCTGGTCTCCATCTTCTGTATCAGCCCACACACGTCTTCTCCAAGCTTATATGGGAGGTTGGGGGGGCGGGGCTCTTTTCCACCCCAGGGCCTCTGGACACACAGAATACCTCCTTAATCCCTTGCCTGATTAACGCCTCACTTTTGGATATCAACTCAAGTGACATTTCCTCGGGGAATCTCCTCCTAATGCCCAAGAACAAGTGAGGGCTTTCTATCAGATGCTGATAGCATCTGTGGTTTTCTCATAGTACTTATTATAGTTTGTTATCATGCATATACATGCAATTATCTAATATCTATCTCTGACACTGGCCTATAGGATAAAACTCCATTTTGCTAACTCTTTAGTTTTGCAATAAAGAACCCCTTCAGAATGGTTCCCAACCTACTTTTGCCTTGTCACTAGACAGTATCTCCCCCCACCCCCCACACACATACTCTAAACTCTAATTCAGGAGCCAACAAACTACAATCCTTGGGCCAAATGCAGCCTGCCACTTGATTTAGTAAATAACTTTGTGCTGGAGCCACAAACACAGCCACAAATGCCCTTTGATTTACATATCGTCTATGGCTGCCTTTGGTTTACAAAGGCAAAGCTGAGTAGTTGCAACAGACTATTATATGGCCTGCAAAGCCTAAAATATTTACTACATCTTACTGAAGTTTGCCAGCCCCTGCTCTAATTCATTCAACAAATATCTATTGAATACTTACTACATATTATGCTAGGTGCAAGTTCTCAAACTGAAAAATATATGTGTAATAGGAATTCTATTTTCTTCCCTAATGGATCATCTTAAGGTTCGTGCACTCTATTTTAGAAACTACAGCTATAAATAATTGGCGCTACTGAAGGATTATATATAGGTCATAACCTGATTAGACCTAAGATTTTAAAATATTGCTTTCACTTTGGCAATATTAGAAGAAAGACAAGAAGGAGGAGGCCAATTAGGAGACCACTGTAAATGTCGAAGTGAACCGTAATGAGGGCCTAAGCCAAGGCAGAAGCAGACGGAGAGACAGCAGGACTGGGGTTAACAAGGTAGCATTCAGAGGCCCTAGGAACTGTGTATGAGTGGTGCCACCCAGATGGTAGGAAGAAGGGTGAGGAGCCATTTTGAGTGAGAAGAATAATTCAGTTATGGACAAAATGAGTTTAAGGTGCCTGTGTGATATTCAGAAGAGGATGTCCAGAGATGGGGGCAGGTTTAGCCAAGATACAGATTAGGAAGTTACCCGCAGAGTTAAAGCCACAAGGACACATAAGGCTGCCAGAGTAGTGGAGTATATGAATGAAAAGTTAGGAGGAGTAAGAACAAGTCCAAGGTCACCAATACGTGAGGGACAGGCAGAGAATAAGTTGGCCACAAAAAGACTGAAAAGGAATGTTAAAGAGATAGAAGAACCAAGCAAGGGGTGTCAGGAAAAACCAAAGGTAGAGAGAGTTTCGAGGAAAAGGAAGTGGTGAACAGTTTCCTTAGAAAGATGTAATGTCAAAAGAGCTGTGTTTAAACGTGAGAGACTCTGAGCTAAGCACAGTCTTTTGAGGATGGAGACAATTAAAAGGTAAAGATTGAAAACGCAAAAGAAGGTAAATAACTGACTAAGCATTTTTCTGGGGAAGATGAGAGGAGTGAGGGTCACGAACAACTGCTTTTTTAAAAAATCCAAGATAAAAAATAAAACGTTTCTATTAAACAATGGCAGACAGAATAAGGAAATAGCACACAAAAGCAACCAATATGCATTAGTTTGCTACGGCTGCTATAATGAGGTACCGAGACTGAGTGGCTTAAACAGAAATTTATTGTCTCACGGTTCTGGAGGCTGGAAGTCCTAAATCAATGTGTTGGTGGGGTTCGTTCTTTCTACGGGTGGTGGAGGAGAAAACTGTTGCCTGCCTCGTAGATCGTCGTCTTCCTGTGTCTTCACATCATTTTCCCGCTGTGCATATCTCTGTGGCCAAATTTCCCCTTTTTATAGGAACACTGGTCGTATTGCATTAGGGCTCACCCTAATAACCTCATTTCACCTTGACTACCTATGTAAATAACCTATCTCCAAATAAGGTCACACTCTGAGGTACTGGGGCTTAGGACTTTAACACATGAATTCAAGG